TATAGATTTATATAATAAGATACGTTTATAAATTAAATATATTAGATTTAAGATACTCGATTATTATATTTTTAGAGGCGAATATAATAATAAATAATATTATATATTATATATCTCTCTAAATTTATTTAATTTCTAGTTTAATTAGTCTTTAATATAACGATTAATTAATCTTAAAGCTAACTATTATAGTATATTAGTTAATATTTTTTTCTCGAAATTTTTATCTATAGTTAATTATATATAACTTTAAATCGAGTTATTAGTAAAATCGATTTATTAATTATAATTTTAGATAATCTATTAAGAAGATAACTTACTTAATTAATAAGATATATTAAAAATAAGATTATTAAGTAAATACTTCTTTTTTAAATAAGAATATAATTAATTGACGATTTATAGTAATAGAAGTAAATTATATATCGTATAGAAAGTAAGTAAAGTTCGATTTAAGTTAGAATTAAAGCTTTTATAAAATTTTAACTTTATAAATTTAATTTATAAATCTTTATTTATTAATTAAATATTTAAATAAGAAAATTACTATTTCGATTTATTTAATTTAATTATATATTCGAAATTTATAGAAAGAAAGAAAGTTACTTTTAAAATAAAATAAAGAGAATTATATTATATCTTTTAAGTTTTTAATATTATAAATATTAAGCGAAGAAGAGAAAAGAAAAACTTTTTATAATATCTCTTATAAGACTTTATTATAAATTTAAAAAATAATATTATATTTTATAAAGACTTTTTTTTTTTTTTATTAATTATTTAAATTATTATAAAAAAGTTAAAAAAAGTTAAATATCGTTTTTTTAAATACTTTTACTTTATTTATAGAATTAGTTATATAATTATTAAGTTAAATAATAATTTATTTAAATTTACTAGCTAAATAAATAAACTAGTTTAATAATTACTTTATTTCTTTAACTAGTTATAAAATCGTTATACTATCTCGATAGATATTCTTTATAATATATTATCTGTATAGTAGATTTATTTAGAAATATAATAACTTAAGTTAATATTTTATTAAAGCCTCTATTAATAAATTTATTTAATTTATCTATTAATTTAAATATAATAAATAGAATAATTTAATTATAGTATTAAAATTAATATAAATATAAAATTAATATAAATTTATTAAATAAGATAACTAGATATCGAATAATTATATAAATAGAAGATAATAAGATATATTAGACTTTAATAGATAATAAGACGAAATAATATATTAATAGAGATATAGAATACGCTCGTAATAGTTATAAGTTATAAGTTATATATAATTTTTAATTTAAGATTTTTTTATATAAGAATTTTAATTTATTAATATAAATTTTAAAGATTTTATTATAAACTCTATTATAATAATAGTAGTAAAATAGAGAAAATAAAAATATAAAAGTAATAAAAGAGATTAAAAAAATAGTAGAAATAGAGATAATAGAATAAAATTTTTTTAAGATATAATAAATCGATAAAATCTAAAATATTTTAATTTTAATTTTTTAATATAAAAGTTTTAATTTTAAAAAAAAATAAAAAAAAAAAAAAAAAAAGAATAAGATAGGGCTGAGCTTGGAAACCTTGAATTTGTATGTGCAGCCAATCATCAATTCGGGGTTATTACGCCTTTTGGCTAGACTGACTGAGTCAGCCCGCTAGCCCTCCCGAGCTCCCTCATCAAAAATTTGTGTGTAGAAGTTTTACACTCTGAGATAACCAGCTCCCTACGGATGCTGTTTCTTCATAATTTCGTAAATTGTAGAACTCAGTGTGCGCTTTCTAACGCTGTAAAAATAATGAAGTTTGGCCTACTATTGGTGGATTAAATGGACATTCAAATATGGTAGTCATGGTAGTCACACCAGACGCGTCCGGGATCGGATAATAATCCTTCCACCTGTTTGTGTAACCATTCTTCTTCCACCATTCTATCAATTCTACCAATTTACTAATATGAACATAATCATCCTCGATACCCCTCGCGGAAACGTTACTAAACGCTTCAGGCACGTATACCCCTTTTGCCCGTTCTTAGAGCCTCTACTAACGCCCCCAGGCCACCCCTCGACGAATCCGCTACTGCTGGCCAGCTACCTACTACTGCTCATAAACGCGTTGAAAGGCCCTCAAAAAGAGCCCGAACGGATACGTCCTCCCCTACATACTCCTCCCAAGCCAGCGGTAATACCTTCCAACCCAGCGATGCTACCTCTCAAGACGCGTCCACCTACTCATAAACGCGTTGGAAGGCCCTCAAAAAGAGCCCGAACGGATTCATAGCCATCGTCCTCCCCTACATACTCCTCCCAAGCCAGCGGTACTCGACCAGCCGCTCAGTCAACACTACCTACCCTATCAGCTCAGCAATCCACTTAGTCAGATCGTCAGCCAGTCACTCAATCATCCACTCAGTCGGCCACTCAGCTAGCTACTCAGTCTAATACTCTACAAGAGAAGGAGCAAGAGGAGGAACTACAACAGGTAAATGCGGAGAACACTGCGGAGAAACCAAGCGGCAACAAGGCCACCATCGTCAAGAACACGGCTCAGCTCTCCAAGATCCCACGTCATATCAGTCATCCACTCAGTCAGCCACTCAGCTAGCCACTCAGTCTGATACTCTACAAGAGAAGGAGTAAGAGGAGGAACTACAACAGGCAAATGCGGAGAACACTGCGGAGAAACCAAGCGGCAACAAGGCCACCATCGTCAAGAACACGGCTCAGCTCTCCAAGATCCCACACGTCATATGCTCTCCACGGTTCCACATCAAATCATCACTCAGCAAGCGGAGAACACCACTGCAACTTGGCCGTTCCACATCAAATCATCACTCAGCAAGCGGAGAACACCACTGCAACTTGGCCTGTCATCCCCACTACATTGAGGAGCAAGAGGAGGATCTACAACAGGCGAATGCGGAGAACACTGCGGAGAACATTGCGGAGACAGTCATCAGCAGCAGTGACACAACAGGCCTACTCTCCACGGTCTCACACCAGCCCGATACTCAGTAAGAGGAGGAACCACTGCAGCAGGTAAATGCGGAGAATATTGCGGAGACAGTCATCAGCAGCAGTGACACAACAGGCCTACTCTCCACGGTCTCACACCAATCCACTCAGCCAATGCAAGAGAAGTCACTACAGCAGGCGAATGCGGAGAACACTGCGGAGAAACCAAGCGGCAACAAGGCCCCCAGCACCAAGCACGGTTCCATATCAAATCATCACTCAACAAGCGGAGAACACCACTGCAACTTAGCCTATCATCCCCACTACATTAAGAAGTAAGAGGAGGAACTACAACAGGCAAATGCGGAGAACACTGCGGAGAACACTATGGAGAACACTGCGGAGAAACCAAGCGGAAACAAGGCCCCCAGCACCAAGAACACGGCTCAGCTCTCCAAAATCCCACATCATATGCTCTCCACGGTTCTACATCAAATCATCACTCAGCAAGCGGAGAACACCACTGCAACTTGGCCTATCATCCCCACTGCATTGAGGAGCAAGAGGAGGAACTACAACAGGCAAATGCGGAGAACACTGCGGAGAAACTAAGCGGCAACAAGGCCACCATCGTCAAGAACACGGCTCAGCTCTCCAAGATCCCACCTCATATGCTCTCCACGGTTCCACATCAAATCATCACTCCGGAACGATGCATATTTGGACGAATTGAAACCGTCCGATGTCTTGCTCTGACAGCTATTTCATTATTCGAAAGATTTCACTGCGGCAGGAGATAATGTGGGATTCACACCACTAATTGGCATGTTGTCTCCATTTCTTTCCGGTATTTCGATACTTCTTGCCATAAGGATATGGCCTTTCTCTGTTTTTTGTGGGCAATTATTACGGATCAATCCTTCACACTCGATACACCTTCCTAATTAGGCCTTAGCGCGCCTCTCTCCGTACATATATGTCTGTATGTAGGTCAAAAACGCACAGCAAGCGATCAGAGTTCGATTTGACTTAGAAAAATCCAACTCCATAAATTTAATTAATGGCCTTTTTTTTTTTATTATATATATTTAAGAAGAGAAGTATTTTAATATTATATCGAAATTATCGAATTTAAAGTAATATAAATAAAGATAAAATATAAATAAGAGTAAATAGATTTAATTCTTATAGTTAATAGAAAGTATAAATTATTTTAAATAATCTTATCTTCTCTATAGTAATTAAACTTCGACGAAGTATTATTATTAAATTATTTAATAAGAATAGAATAAACTTTTAATAAAAGTATAACTCGAATTTAAAGATCTAGCGAAATTTTAAGCGTAGAACGATAGCGACGCGAAAGAATAAGAAGTTAATAATATTTAAAAAGAAGAATATTAATTAATAAGTCGAATAATTAAGAAGTTCTTTACTATAGAGTAATTATTTAGATTATTACTATTATTTAATATTAAACTATTTACTTATAAGTAAAGTAAGTTTATTTATTATAAGCGTATTCTTAATATATTACTTAGCTCTTAATTTTATAGCTAGCGAGTCTAGCGAAGATATTCTCTACTATATTATAAGATTATTAATCTTATTATCTTTATTTTATCTTATTTATATTAATATTATATTTATACTAATTCTAATATTATAATAAGACTTCTTTATATCCCTCGACGAAGAGAAATATAATTCGAGTATACTTTATTCGAATTAGCGGACGAATTTAAAGAAATGCGTTAATAGGGGCTTTAATAATATTATATCTCTAGGTAAGCTTACTATACGGGTAACTCGATTTCAAAGAGCCTAAACGAGACAGCGGAACGACCTCGTCAGAATAGTAGGCGAGAGATAACTAAGGCACAGGGACCATTCGTACGACTAGCGAATTGATAGTAGAAAGAAATCGTCACAAACCCCACACACAGTGAGCCTGCTACAAGGGCAGCAAACGTACAACCTCTTCACTAAGCATGTCGACAACACCATAGTAAGCCTGCTACAATGGCGGGAACAGCCCCGAAACAACACATATCGACCTCTTCACTAAGCATGTCGACAACACACATAGTGAGCCTGCTACCAAATGGCATTCAACATATTCGATTCTTCCCAACCTCCTACCTCCCTACCAGACCCTACGAATCGACAAATGAGTTGAAGCAAAGGAGATGGAACGGAGGATGGATTTTTGATGGCAAGAGCATGGGAGACACAGGGCAAATCTACAGTGAAGCTCCCAGGCCAGGCTGCCAAAAGGTGTTGGAGGTGAATACATACGTTGGGTTTTCTTCAATTCTATCGAAGGACTATAGCAAGAAGACTAGGCAAGAAGAAGAACTCGGAGAATCTTGCTGGCACGCAGGCAAGATGTGGCTACATCTCCAGGATCTCTGAAGGACAATGTGTGGTTGGAGGTATTTAGTTCGTATTAGGTTCGATTCCTAATGGCGCTGGTACAATGGTGTTGCGGTGCTTTTTATTTCTGGCAGCGCCATTAGCCACAGGTTTTAAAGTTCCGTCGAGCGGTGTTGGCGAGGGCTTAGGTTCGAAACCCGTGTGACGCATTGATTTGTGAAGCGAAATGTTCCCCGTTAGTCATAGTCCGGGGGCGGACACCTGTTGGTTGTGGTCGTGTGGTTGGAGGTATCTAGTTCGTATTAGGTTCGATTCCTAATGGCGCTGGTACAATGGTGTTGCGGTGCTTTTTATTTCCCTACATCTCCAGGATCTCTGAAGGACAATGCAGGCATGGCACAGTCAAGACCAGTATACGGCCCGGCAATACCGCTATACCTCGGCAAATCTTCTCCAATTAAGGCCTATACGGACTATGGATGTTTGGAGACACAGGGCAAGCGATGGGCGTGCATCTCCGGTCTACCAGCCATGGGGGCCACGGCTATTTGAGAGGGGGGGTTAGTGTTACGAGCGTACCCTTGACACACCACTCAGCCCTCAGCCCTATGGCACGCGAGCTTGCCCTGTTCTCTTCCTCTATGTTGCCAGTGCTACTCTATCACAGCTTTACTTCGTAGGCTTTCATGGTCTAGAGCGAGACTCGGCGCAATTCTGCGCAGCTTAGTGATTCTTTGAATTACGCAGCGGGTCAGTGTGCTGATTACTGGACCGGGTCACCCCTTGAAGCGCGCTTAAGCGAAGGTGGGCGTTTCACGAATTGATGACAAACAACTGTGGAAACGTCAAACCAAGTGAGAGTGCAGAGACGATAGATCCATCTTTGAATGTGTCAAGTAAAGAAGGCAAAGTCCTAGTATAAGCAATCGAGACTTCCCCACAAGCTCTCAAACTGCTATTCTTCCCCCATGGCCAGTAGCCGACCCCATAATTGCCTCACCAGCATGAGTATGTCTCGCGTTCTGACCATACAGCTATAACAATCACCTTTGACAACGTCCTCAAATACGACAAAAGCTAAGCGGTCAAGATGGTGGTTGACCTCCTGAATGACTTGCGCAATGGATTCCAGTTTTGACATTTCGCCTTCAAAAGTGGCGACACCCAATTGTGCTGCTTTGAATGTTTTGTGTGCCTTAACCCAAGGGTCCCGATACCACTCCGTAAAATTGACGCCCAGGTAGGCCCAGGTCACAAATTTGCCGGCTATGAGGCGTTTCTTGAAACCACTCGGTTCAGAGACCTCAAGAGCTCTCGCAGCACTTGAGTTGTGCTCGTGATATTGTGGCCGAAGAAGTCGGTAATGGTCCATGAGATGTGAAATGTTCAAGCTGGTGGATTCGAGCTGGCTTTGAACAGCGATCACATCGTCGAGAAAGACATGGTATTTGTCCTGGTCTTGATTGGAGAGGCGGGTAGATTTTTCGGAAGCATACGCAAGACATCCGAGCGGGCGACTTGTATCCATCACAGTAAGCGTGATATCAGACCAGGACTTTTCCATCTCCAACAGTGTATGCTCGTCGACTGTTGACATGTATACTGATCTATCGAAGACATGTACTGGAGACAAGTTGATGACTGAAGCGAGCCTGGGACAGGTATCAACGGTCGGGCTAGGTGGATGTCGCGCGTTGTTCGAAGGGCCGGGTTGAAGTGCAAAGCGAAGGAGGAGTGTTGTCACGGCCAACATCAGAGCAACACCCCAAAGAAGCCGATATTTGTATGCCATAAAAAGCCACCTCATGCCATTCGATGTATTGTTGACAAGGACGTCTTCTATGAGCCATTAAGAATATTAGTAAAAGGTAGACTATCAATAAGCATTGATTGTATTTGCTCAAATAGAGTCTCTCATACCTCTAATCTGATTGTCAATGCTACTTCTGGAAGTGCTAGCTCTCGAGTCCCGTTGAGATGGGTGGGATCGTAGTCCCGCAAATGTACTTTGAGGCGTAGATGTAAGTGTGATCCCGCCAAAGAATGATGAGGAATCTTGGTCTGCCATTTTTCTGTCAATGACTTCAGGCTACGACAAGGAGAGACTTGAATGGATAACTTTCGCAACAAGCAGCTGATTTCTCTTTCTTGTAGACTTTGCCAGTTGAAATGACAACAGAGGTTGTGATCTGAATAAGTAAGAAGGTTAAGCCACGGTGTTAAGGAATAATATGATATGACTCATAAATGTGGTGTGGTGGAAGTATGTTCATTAATCTATATGCCTGCAGAGCAGATATGTGCGGTGCCAAGCCTACGCTAGTGGCCCTATGAGTGTCCCTGAGGCATCTCATGACACACGGTTTTTAAAAGGAATATTCAAAGCGGGAGTCAGCCTTATAGCAGTACGACGTCACTGAATAAGATAATTTTTAGGAGCTAGGTGTTACGAGCGTATTCTTAACATACCCCTTAGTTCTATAACTAGCGGGCCTTAGCGGAGATATCTTCTATTATATTATACCTTCTTTCTATCTATATAATTTAATAGTCTTATTATTCTTATTCTATCTTATCTATATTAATATCGTATTTATACTAGTTTTAATCTTATAATAAAAGCTTCTTTATATCTCTTTTAGCGAAGAAAATTAACGAGTTCTTTACTTTTTAGACTACTATTACGCGTATAGCTCTAGTCTATTAGACGTATAGCTTCTATTTACTAGACGTATAGTCTCTATTTACTAGACGTATAGCCTCTTTAATTAAATTAGCGATCGCGCGGAAGTTAATAAATACTAATCGTAAATAATAAAGAATCTATATCTAGTGTCTTTAAGTCGAATATCTTTATAGTAGAATATAATAGTAGAATTAACTCTTACTCTATCGCTCGTTTATATTTCTCGCTTAATAGTAATAACCCTAGCTTTAACTCTTAATAATTAGATAAATATCTTATTTAATACGCTTATTCTATATATATAATAGTATATAGAATCTTAAGATTATACTATTCTTAAGAGACGTATAATTACTTTTAAGAATAAACTTATTAAAAAGATATAACTACGATATAATTATAATAAAAAGTTAGAAAAGAATAGTAAGAGTATAGATAAGCGTATTATATTTAGTTAATTAATAAATTATTTATTTTAGATTATTACGTAGCGTATTAGAATAGGCGATATTTAGATAAATTTTACTTTTATAATTATTAATTCTACTTATAATTATAACTATATCTTATTTAAAGTATATTTAATAATATATAAAATCGCTATAATTTAGAACGTTTAGAATATTATCGTTAATTAAACGCGTTTTAAAGTTTTATCGAAATAGATTATTTTATTTTTACGATTTAACTAAGATAAGAAAGATTCTATTTTAAAGTTATAAGACGTTTATAATATTAAGATTAAGATTAAGAGCGAGATACTTAGATCTTTAATTTTTATATAAATCTTAATATAATAGCTATATATATAAGAGAATTAATTTATATATATAAAGAAGAACTAGCGAACGTAGTAGATTAAGTTCTTCTTTTTCGCTAGAAAATCGTTATAATAAATATTATAATTTAATTTAGAGATATTAATCTTAGACGCGATATATAAAATTAATAAATATAAGCTTTCACTTCTTATAATTATCGAAATTATCGCTCTTAATATATTCTTTTATATAGAATTCGCCTTTATAAAATCGAAATATACTAAGAACTACGTATAAGTAATAAAATAATTTAAAGCCCTATATAATAAGCTTAATCTTTCTTATCTAGACGTGCTTTTAACGAATACGTAAAACGCTTTAATTAGGGCCTATAAAGTCGTCTTTTTAAAGGCCGAGTATATACTTTATATTTAATATATTAAGAATAATATTATATCGAATTATAGTTAGTACTTTAATAAGTAAGAGAAACTAAATATCTTTAAGAAGGATTTTCGTCGTATTATATACGTAGCTACTAAGAAGTTATTTAAATATAAATAAAACGCCTTATAGAAGAATTATATTAAATACTATCTATTCGCGATTATCTATATTATAAATAATTTAATTTCTTAAAAGAAGAAGTAAGTAATCTTTTAAATTAATTAATATCTATATTTTAATAATCGAGTTACTTCGCGAGGAGAGTTAAATAATAATAAGCTTAAGAGATAGCTATATAGCTTATCTATTAATAAGATTACTTCTACTTTATACGATAAAGTAATAAATTAATTAAATAATATTATAGATAATTTAAAGACTATTATAAACGCTTTTAATTTAATATTTATAAATAAGCGTTTAGACTATAATATCGTATTTAGTAAGATTTAAATACGCCTTTCTATTTATATTAAGAAGCCTATTTTTCGAGATCTATATATTAAAGTTTTATTATTCGCTTTTATAAAAATACTATCTTACTATAATAAAGTAATTAATTATACTATAAAATTATATATTAAATACTTTATTATAATAATAGAATTATCGTATATATACGTTATAGAGCGTTATATATTAGAGAGAACTAAAATATTATCGCTTAAAGATATCTACTTTTACTAGCGAGTCGATAAGTTAATTAATACGCGTTATTATAAAAGTAAGAATAAAAATAATAAGAATAATAAGAATAATAAGAAGAAGGAGAATAATATTATAAACGCGCTTTTATATATTAATAAATCAGCTATAATTTAGCTTAGAGGTTAATTAATAAAAGTTAAGAATAAGAAGAAGAAGCGTACTCGCGAGAAAGTCTTCGAGAATTCTATTTAACGCGAGCCCTCTCGATTTAAGTACGTATAGCGATAATAATATTTAATAATTATAACGAGTTAGATAAAATAATAAGAGAAGAAGAATAGAGTAAATACGTTTTTTAATATTAAAGGCTATAGATAAGAATTAAAGTGTATATCTATATTTATCTCTATACTATAGATATTATAGCGAGAGAGTTTACGATTACTATAGTAGTTACTCTAATAACTAGATATTATATAAGAAAGGCGATAAGATAAATAGACTAGATAGGTTATAAGAGATAGATAAGTTAAATAAACTATAAGAGGAGAATAGCGAGGTAATATTATATAAGAATAGCGAGATAGTATAATATAGGTCTATATATAGAATAACGAGGTTATATTTAATACGTTTTAGATATAGAAAGATTAGCTAGTTAATAGATAGTAGATATTTAAGTATAATAAGCGTATTTTTAATAATAAGTAGAGAGAGTAGTTAGCTAATTATAGTTAATTAGCTATCGTAAAGACTTTACTAATTAACGAATTAAAATCGTTTAATATTATAAATCTATAGAGAGAGATAAGAAGACTTATTCTACTACTATTAAGTATCTTTATAAGAATCTCGAAGAGATTAGATACGAGTTCTTTATTATTTATAATTAGTACTCGTTAGCTTTCGCGCGGTCGCTAATTCAATTAAAAGGGCTATACGTCTAGTAAATAGGGGCTGTACGCCTATTAAATAGAGGCTATACGCCTATTAAGTAGAGGCTATACGCGTAATAGTAGTTACTTTTTACTTAAAGTAAGCGATCGAGTTTAATAAATAAAACGCTAGATGTTTCTATTATATAGAAACTCTATTATATATTTATATTATAAGATATTTATATTATATAAAAGAATTTATATTAGATAATCTATATTATTAACGATAGCTCGATTTATAAAAAAATCGAGTTTTCTATATCGTATATAAGAAATTCTTCTCCGCTTCGCTTTTCGTAAATATTTATTAATTAAATAATAAACTATTAGCGAACTTTCTACTATTCGAAAGAATATTATTTAAAGTACTTATAATCTTTATAGCGAAAACGAGTATTATAGACCTTCGTAAAAAAATAATACTATTTCAAATATTATAGTTAAATTTCAATACTCGATAAAGATATTATTCGATATTATAATAAATCTTTATAGAAAAGTCTAGTTAAAATAACTATTCTTATATCTATCTTCTCCGCTTTACTCTTATCTATATTTAATATATTATAAGTTTCTTAAATTTTTACTTTATTTCATTTATATTAATATTAAGATATCTCTTTTTATATAACTAATTATCTATATATCGCGATTATCTTTATCTTATATATAATAACTTATATAGAAGATATTTATCTTCTAACTCGTTATTATTTTATATATTTTATATATAATAATCTCTATCTATTAAGAATCTTTATTAATAATATTATAAAATATCGAGTTAGCTAGAGGAGAATTAAGCTTAAGAACTCGAGATATAAGGCTAAAATCCGTCTAATATCTTAGTCTCTTCTTTATCGTAGAAGATATTAGAATAATAAAGAGAGATATAAACTTAAAACTCGGCTAGCATATCTATCTTTCTATCTTTATCTCTATTTTTATCTATATTATAAGATTTCGAAGTATTAAGAATATATTAATATCGACGTCGATTAATATCGCTATAGTTAGTTTGATAGTAAATTAGATAACTACTTAATCTAAGACTATTAAATTTATCTATCTTTATAAATACTAATTTAATACTATTTAATAATTAAAAAATAAGAATTTAAGATAAGCTTACTTATAATAATAGTTATTTCCTTATTAATACTTTTAAAATTACTTATATTATAGCGAGATTTAAAGAGAAAGCTAATTAGTATATATTTATTAGACGACGATATCGCTTATACTCTATAGTTAATAATCTTCTAGATTATTTATATAACGTATATAAGATATCTTAATTTATTCTTAAGAGAATCTATTAATATCCTTACGATAAAATAAGTTAAGAAAATTAATTATTTCTTTAATTCTATAAAAACGTTATTAAATATATTAAATATAATTTTAAGAATAATAGTTTAAAGAATAATAGTCTAATAGATAATATATAAAAGAAATCGAAACTTCGTTTTTATAACTTAATTCGTCTATTAATAAGAGATTAGATTATATTTAAATTAAAGAAATATATTATAAAAATATAACTTAATTATTAATAATTTATTAAATAATTTATTAAAAAAAAGAT